TATATATATGAAAGTGCCTAAAGAAGCGGAGAATAAATGTAAATTCGGTGTACCAAAACTTACCACCGACAGGTTTCCCGTCAACAATTGATGACTTTGATTCAGTAACCGCAGCACTTTTACGTCCCTTGCGCCCCTGCAGCATTTTCATGATATATGCCGAATCAGACGAAAGATTTGCCAGCTGATAAAATACTTGGCGTTTTCGAATGATAGTATACACCAAATTTGAATTTCCTGAATATATACCAGTTACAAAGCATCAAGAATGCTACTACCGTACATTTGACGTTCTACATGAGCATTCTTATCGATTTGATCAAAATGTTTTCGAGACCTATCACAGTCAGAAGAGCTTTGTGAGCAGCACAATTCTTGCATTATTTGTAAACAAAACCTTTACAATGAAGAAAAATTATATTGAAACAGTACCATCGAACTGATATTGAATAATATTATTGAGAACTTCAAGGAGGAAAAAGATAAGAAGGTGATTTGTCGGTGATGAAAACAAAAACCAAGGGGTTGAAAAAGCCTCAATAAGATGAATAAGCTTATTCGCTGCAAACATCGAAATGGATTTCAAATACGGTGACACTGCAAAGAACATAGCTATAAGAATTTCGTTACCAATAACACCTACGGCTTAACAAAAGGCTATGCAAAGCAAACAGCTAAGAGACTAAAACGTTAAACTTCAAGCTCGCCGTGATTAGAAAACTTATTGGAATACTGAATACATTAAAGAAAATAGTAAGTGAAGCTGATCTATACCACTCATAATTGACGCAACTTGCAAGAGACCTATCATTTATCGCATTACCTCATTCATTATTTCATTACCTCGATTTTCATCACATCTCACTATTGCTTTTAATACTCATCTGACAATGTATTAGAAAACAAACCGTTTACAATAATTGTTAAAAGACAATCGAAAAGTGACTGCAATCGGTGATTGCCCGTGGTTATTAGCTTGTGGAACACCTGCAATAGTCCACTCTTCATATAAATATATTAGATATATTGCATAGTTTGCAACCTGTCTGCATGCACCCTTCATATATACATATGCAGCAACATGATATTATTGGAAGCGGTGTACTGAAGAACAGAAGACCTCTGTATTAATATGATTCACATAACAAAAAAAATCAGTAGTCCAAGTTACTGCAGGTGAAGGCAGAAGTGATTCATAAACTGTTATTAAAACCGCGATAAGCAAAAGCAAGTATTATATAAAAGAACATAAATAATAAAAAAAAAAGATGCTTCTTACTCCTACAATTCATAACAAAGTTTTCTAAATTCATTTTCAAATACCATTATTTAAGAGTTCAACTCTAATAACATACAAGAATAAGTAAATCTGCATGTGTTCCAGTGAATGATTGTACATCGATAGCTGCCCGTGGAGTGTAGGGTTTATTTAAACGTACACCAAAGTTTCGCTCACCGCTTAACAACAAAATGATGAAAACACCCATATGTATCAAACCAACACGAGCTGCAAATTACGTCCAGTAAAACATAATAGATGTATTTAACTGCCTTTTTGAAGGCTTTAACATAACTAATTTCAGAATACTTCATTTTTTGTACCTGGATCATTGCGAGAAGCACTAACGTGAAATAATATCGGAACAAGCACTTCCAGAACATCACTCGTTTTCAATAAATAAAACATGAATTTCTGAAATACCATGTCTTCAAAATACTATGCAGAATCGTGAAAGTGTCTATAAAATTAGGATGTCTCGTTTTTGTCAGAGAAACAATGACAAGAACTATTACCTGATTATACTCACAGCATTTCCAAAGCAAAACAAGGAGCTCCTGATGGCATGTTATTTTTTTGGTGGAACTCGGAAGGTACGTAGCAACTAATGGATTTGTCAACAAACGAGTCATGCCTTTCAACATGAACTCAAAGTCCTCCTCGCGATGAATTCTTGATAGATAATTAATGAAAAAATTGTCAGCATACTCGTTCTTCTGAAATTGGTTGCTATATGCAAATTATTCGTTTCTATATACAAACTATTCGTTTACAAATTATTTAAACGTCAACTTTCAAAATTTTCCGAAAAGACATTTACCTTGACGGATGATTGTGTCTCACTATCCAGGCACACAATAAGCACTTGTAATGCAATCTGCATAAGCGGTTCTCTGCTGTCCGTAAACAATAAATAATTATAAGGTACGCCATAACCAATCGGATCATATGCACAAACTACGTTAAGCAGGGAAGTAAAAAGCGGTAGAACATGACGATTTTCTGCCGATGTAAATCTCGCTATCCATCTCATCCTATTTTCATCTGAAATTAAGAGTGGTAATCGAAGTTTGTTTCAAAAGTCTTGGATGTATTATTAGCTGTAACTTCCATAAACTTGGTAATATTCTGAAGTTGGATTGGCAACAACAGATACATCCTTCTACTTCCTATAACTATGTGGTACAAATCATCGAATTAAATACTTCTGACTTAAATCTCACCAATAACTGGGACATAAATGACTTCTGAAAAGCATGTAAGTAAAAGTTTAAGAATTTCGGCCCGTCGCTGATCATGCTCTGCTATTTGCGGCGGTCTCGTCGCAAAACCAACACCAGCCTCCCATATATATTCACAGCTGTCAATAGCACTTAAATCGTCTGACCCTCCCTGAAAAATTAAAACGATGACAGTGGTGCTGTTTTAATTTCTCGATTTCATATTTGTTAATTTCGCCATAAAAATGTGGGATTAAACACAAAACAGTTTGTGAAACTATGATAAAACCAATGCTGGCTTGAACAATCTTACATAACAGTGAAGGATAAATAGGGTAAAAAATTCTTCATAGTCACCATGTATGCTAGTTTCTTTAATTAAAAATATTTCTTATACACAGAAAAGTACCTGATGACTTTTTAGAGAAGAAACAGTGAATTCTGGACAAAAGAGTAGATCGGTAAGTGCAGATATCAGTGTGCATGCTAATGGTTGATGGGGAAATTGTTCGTTTTCTTCTGCTGGTGGTAATGACCAAAAAAAACCTTTCCAGTCCGAATCTTCGAATAAATATGGACAAACTCTTGTTAGAAGTCGTATGCAATTCAGTACCTAATAACAGCTTCCGGAATAAAAAGAACTTCACAAGTACAGCATTCCAAATTTTTTCATAATTCGGATTGGCAACAAACTTGACTTGGCCAAAATTTCCAATGAGCTTCATAAACCCAGAAAAAATGAAATACTCTAAGTGGTCTTTAGCATAACCACTTAAAGTATTTAAACAATCCAAAATTTTTATTAGTGATCGGTGACTTTATTTTCTGATTGAATTTAAGAACATTGAATTTAAGAACAAACAAAGCGATCCAAAATACCTTTGTTGACGATATGGTTGATGGGGAGTTACAGGCTATCGTTATTCGATCCACAGTTTTATAACATAGAGCTGCCAGATTGTTTGGAGAATTATCACGCAATGAACGGATCTGAAATTATCCTCAAATAGGGACAATTAAAGATTTATTTTGGAGAAATATATATCTCACGGATATGTTAATCTAATTTCTCGCATGATGTTGATCATTATCATATATCTGTTCTGGAAGACTTATTCAAATATATAATTACTAGAAATTTTTGCCGATCTTTACTGGCCAGGCCAAATAATTTCCGAAAGTATCACACGAACATCGTCTGCTGTGATCAGTGCAAAAACATCTGCAGCACAGTTTATATTGGAAGCCCATAACTCTTCCCAAAACGCATCTTCTTCCACTTTTGATTTCTTCGTTGTAAGTTCGATTACTGCTTTGCGAAAGTTAATTTTACTCCCAGAATTACCCATTACTCGATGCTTAGAACTTCTTGTGCCTAATCCTAGAATGAAATCAGCAAAAATTTTAGCAATATTATGATGAAAACAAAGATACATTTCAAAGCAAATATAGTTAATTTGAGTCTAATCGAGCATATCATGTCGTAAATATGTCATCATGTTAATATGCATCATATAAAAGATGAATGACCCTAAACAATACGCTAAAACTTTCTTAAATTGCAGACGACAAAATAAAATCACGTTAGCGGAAGAAATAGAATGGAAGATAAATGTTTTCCAAATGATACATCAAATGTGCCAGAATCTGGTGTATAATCTCATCATTACAAAACGCTTCTGCACATCATATTCCAGGAAATAATACTTCCACAACAAACAATGCATCAATCACATCAGTAGCGTAGCCGTGATAGACATCGTTGCGGAAAAACCACTACCACGCCCACAAAACTCGGATCACGGTACGCATCAAATAGCCCAACGAATGGTCAAAATAGTTTGTGACGCGATATTGCATTATGGCCGTTGCATGGAAGAAAGTGGCGGACGTGTTGGGATCAGGCTTGCGTGTTTCTTCACCCGGTTACTGACGTTTTTCATGGTAGTGTGAGGTAGCCATTTTCACTCGGTTCCACATATTGTATCCGTATTGATTTCATTAAGGATGAATATAAGCGTAATTGTGTAGTAAATTGTAAACTACCATAGCAAAAAAAAACTCCCTTGGCTTGTGATACGTATGACAATAACGTATGCAGTGGCCTATGGTATCAGGTGAGAAAAAAATTTCAGTTTGTTAGTAATGAATAGATGAGATTATAAAATGATAACGGAGTATTCAAAGAAGCACACTAACGGATGATTTATTTACATTGAATGGGATAAAATAATACGGTGGATTAAGACTTGATCCCCATACATGTCTATCATTATCACATTGTCTTTTTCCTGTTTGAAATCAGATCGGATTATTCGACTAGACAACAGTTAGATTGAGCGTGGATCATTTCCTGGTTCGCACGATCGATTATTGTCAAGTTATTTAATTCAGAAGAATAGGGATGTTCATGTGAATATTGCATATCTTAGACGATATGGATATAAGTCGATTTTAGGGTGCACAAACATGATTTGCCAGGACCTTTAGTTCATTTTTCACCTGCTGGTGAAGCTTTCAAATATTCAAGCCATTTTGGGATTTACTGATTGATTCTTCCCATTGTTCTGTTTAAAATACATACATGTCTGCGATGCTCTTGCACTCCTTAACTCCGAAACCCGATCAGATGTTAATGTTAATTCAGATCAGATGTTAATGACATCATTGGAGAAGGAATAAACATAGATTTACACGGAATGTGGATTATTGTCTTGCTATTTTGTCATTACGATCAACTTAACACTTGCTTGCCTTCTAGCAAATATTTCTTGAATATACGCAGATGAAAATGACAACAATAGTGCCTGGAGGCATATTGTTCTTTGTTCCCTAATTTATATATCCACGAATCTGGGTATTAGATCATCTAATGTAATACACATTACATTTGTTCGAGACAATTTTTGCTACCATTAAAAATTGGCTGATGATTTTTGCATACGGTAATTTTTTAATTTGTCAAAACCCTGGTCTCATGGTTATTCATAACTTCTCTTAGGGTTCGTCTTGATAGAAAACTTTTGTTTTTACTATTAATCCTGAAGTACGGAAAGAAAAAGAAGGAATAAAATTTATTACAACAAAGTGTAGAACAACTGTGACAAAATAATGATAAACGTCAACCCTCAAGTTTGTTCATGGGAAATAATTTCATCTTCTTGACCAGGCTGAGATTCAAATTGTGCTGCAAATATACATATTGTAGTGTGGGATTTTTTGATTAGTTACATTCTTAGCTTATATCACCGTTTTTGCATTTTTGATTCATTTAAGAGTATGAATCAGCAAGTGTGGATCAAAGTATGAATCAAGGCTTTGATAAGAATGGATATTTTACTTTACATTTGGCTATTCTCTGAACACCTGCGATACTGGGTCTAATAATAGAGACAAATTTTTTTTTAAGAAAAAGATTTACCCCGGCACAAACGAGTCCTGAGGCCTCAATACTTTTTTTTGAATTTAACATCGACTTTTGAAATGTCGATGTTAAATAAAATGCAAAGAACACTGCAAACCGATTCTGTCAAATTTTTTTTAGTGCAAAATTCTTTGAGAATTGAGTAGTATAAAACTTACTGTAAGTTCTGTAAAATTCATCACTGTAAGGCCATCCACGTCGAATATGTTCCAGAAGATACTCTCGTGCCAAAGCTCGTAAATCATTTGGTGCACGATGAACTTTTGATGAAAATGCTCTTGAAATAGCATATCCTCCGGCATTGTGTGGCTTGTATCGAATTGTTTCAATTTCATCTTCCTGAGATACTCCAGGTAATTATGACAAGTTTTTTTGCTGAATTTTTTTGCGCAAAAGTATCGAAGAAATTGAATTTCCATTCATTTATATGTGAGGGATATTGTGTTGACTTTGTTGAAGTTGATAATATTTGTCCTTGTTAAAGATATTCTGACTTCATTTGTCGATGATCTCTACGACGTCATTTTCTAACAGATTTATTATGCATTATTCATCCTTGCAGCATTTTCGTTATAAAACAATTCCTGACATCGCAAATCACAAGACTAGCTGGCATTTTTTTAAAAAATTCATTTATTCGCTTCAAATATAACTCACATTTGGTTTTCCAGACATCTGAGATTCTGGCGTTGTCGAAGTAATTACCTGTGACGCTGTTGTTGCTATTGTTGTGGTAGTACTGGTAGTTATACCTGTGGTTTTAGTCGAGGTAGTAGTAGTAGTAATCGTTTGTAATGTCTGCGCATTATCAGGTACAATTGATTGCTGAGAATTCTTGTACTCATTACCGATTTGCTTTTCTCCAGAATGCCTGGCTAATCCATCCGTAATTGGCGATATTATCTCCAAATTAGTGTGTTTTGCTTATAAAATTTTCGCTAATGCAAATTTGTCAATGAACAACTTCGTGAATTTCGTTTAAAATATTCTAAAACGTATTTGAAACCTTCAATTATGCACAACTTGCAAAATTTGGAAATGTCAATATTTTGTGTCATCCGATCTAAAAATATCTGATTTATAGGATGAATTGTGCATCGTATAAATTAGTTATCGTTTATGACTGCTAATGTGTGGACGAAAAAAGAAAAGCTATACATATTGAATTACAAGTAGACTTGAATAAATCAGCTACCTCAGGAGCGCTTCCATTAGGAACTGGTGATTTAACCAGTGATTCACCAAGACCTAAAACATTGTCATTTTCTTGTAATAGTTCATTTTGTTGCAGCTGACGTTGAGCGGTTTTTAATGGTGTATATCTTAGGACACTCCATTCTATGCTTCCTTCTTTCTCATGCTTACTTTCTTGCAAGATTTTCTTGATCGAAGCATCATCATCAATAGTCCTTTCTTCACCCTCGCAACATATCGGTGTATTCAGCGGTTTGTAGCAAAAACGTCCTGTCTGAAGCAGAGTTATGAAAATCAGAAATGGAACAGAACATATTTCGGCATAAATTATACGCTATAAGCGGCGAATACTTTGTATGACATCTATTTATTAGTATCACCAATCTTCGGGATTTATCTTTTTTTATTCATTTCTAATGCTAATGAGATGCTAATTTTGAACATATGAATGAATTCCTTGGCTTATTCTAGGCTCTTAGTTGTTTTAATTTTGCTGTAGTGCTCTCCATGATAAAGCGGCTTGTTGGGAAAACCAGATCTGTATGTATATCTATTCTTATTTTTTAAATTTCTCTCAAGTGTCACAAAGACATTACTTGGTAAGCGCAATCTTCTTCACTACATGATACCGGATCTCCATTGGCATCAAGTATAGTGAAGGCAGGTTCCGGACATTCTAAATTTTGTACATTGAAAAGTTCGTTACTCAATGCAATTGGCTGAATTATCTCATCCGGAGGATTTAGTTCCTTCGATGAAAGAACATCATGAGATTCGTCGGTGATGGATGATAATCCTTCACAACATATTGAATGCTTCCCGACGTTAAGACATTGCATAGAGCTCTAAAGATTAATTTTGATTTTACTGATACATGAATTAGATTTCAATTTTTGCAATATTGCAATATGATTTTAATACAGTTTAATGTTAGAAACTAATTTCAAATAGATACAGCGAAATACGTGGAAAATCTAGGAAGTGAAGGATTCTCGCGAAAAGTTAAAAAAGATCCTCAAGCGAATAATTTAGGTTTAACTCAGATCTCATGGTATGAGTGAGTCATGGTAATCACCTGTGGGCAGTCGTGGAGATCGGGGGTGCAAATGAGGGGCAAGCCACCATCCGTAAGTATTGTAATACCGGGTGAGGGGCATTCAAGGATGGAATCGAAGTTAATTTCTTCCTCAGTCGGACAACATTGATAATTTGTTCCAGAAAAATAACAGGAATATCCTGATCCACATAATCCTTCGTGCCCTGAAATATCGCACGAACCGTTAACTGACAAACCTGTGGCATCGAAATTTCGAGCAATTCAGTCAAAATTTGTATTTCCAAATAGCTTCAAGCACAAGAGAAGAAAGGTAGGTATTAGAGTTCGAAAAACAATTGGAATAACTACCTTCCTGTGAATATAACGAGAATTTCATGAAATTAAACGGTAACGCATAAAAATGAACCTGGCAAACACTGTTTTACGGCACCATTATCGTCCACTTCAGGCAATTGGGAATTCGGACAGTGTAATTTGGCGTATTCTGCAGTTAACATGACTTCAGTAAGATTCTCAAGTATTGAAATGTGTTTCGAGATTGTGGTGTAAACTTCGATTGTAATGGGTTTTTTTGCTTCAGAGGAAAGATGAAGAACACAGAAATTTGTAGAATTTTATTTGATATTTTAGATTTCATTAATAAATAATTTTGCAGAATTTTATTTGAAATTTAAGATTTCATTGGTAAATTTCCTAAATTTAGCAAAGAAATCCAATTCTAAGATTCATGGTTTAAAATTTAAGGGCCGTTTTCTAATTTTTCTTATTTTCTTTTTGACATAGTTTGGATGTCCCAAAATTGAGTTCATCTGGGACGTTCTCGACGATAATTTTCTTTTTGTGGTGAAGAAATCAGAAGATAATCATATGAACTACAAAAGTCTATTCCTTTATTCAAGGAAGAATAACAAAATTGTCACAAACGCTGGTTGAAGTGACTAAGAGGTAATTATAATTTTATTAAGAACAATATGAATAGGTCAAACCCTCAGCTTTACGTAATGTTTTGTTGTAAATAGTTTGAGATGAGAAATTATAAGTATGTTTAATACATATTTCTAACTGAATTAAAGTGTCCTTTTACTTCAACAAAAAAATCCAAACATTATTGGCTTCAAAACTTTGCAACTTCTTATATCCAGACGGATTTGATTTGTAAAACTGATAAAAACAGAATTATTGTGCTAAATCTTATTTGAATATTTTGTTAAAAAAAGACAAAGATACCTTTAGAATGTACCAAGCACACAACAACGTTGAATAAGGTAAATTTGCTGATTAGCTTCCGGTACATAACCGACAAGGCAAGACAAAACAGGCATTAATCAACTACAATTTTCAATCAACCTAAAATCATGTAGGTCACAAACAATGGCCCACTTTTTCAAAACCACCCATAAACAAAGACAGATTGTGTTATTCCTCCTTTTCTTCCACCTCTCCTTTCTTTGATTATTCGCATGCATCCCATTTTGTCGTAATTCCATCTTTCATAACATCTCTCCCATCCTCTCAATAAGAAAATAACCAGTATCTGGAACCTAATTCATTTGCACCACAACAGCTTTAAAGCTTGAAATTCATTCGTTCACTTTCTGTCTCCTTTCTACTAACCAGCTCCTTTCGTCATCCATAAAAGTGGTGCATGTAGGAAGAGGAATGTCATCATAGTTTTCTAAAAACGAATGCAAATATCTCAGTTGAAGTCCGAGATGAATGGGGTAATATTACTACCTCAAGTAACATTCAAACTGTGACAATACTATAGGAACTAATAATAAGTCAGTGAAAGTTTAATGTACTTGAGTTTATTGCAGAATGTAAGGCTTACTATCATTTGATATGGTTATTTTAGAAATTAAATAAACAAAACAGCATTTCACGACTATCAGACGTAGTTTTGTGGGAAAATTTTGTTATTTTGTAATTTCCATATATGATAATTTGTTTCTGAATTTAATTATGGCATCTTGAAATATGAGTTTTTCGGTTGTATAATTAAAATTCAAATTTTATTTCGTAAATTTACAAAGTAATTGAATTTCATAATTTAATTACTATTACCTTCAAACAACAAAGTTATCGTTTTCTAGTCCCTATAAAAAGCTTAGAATTATTCAAATATCAAGTATGATTATTACAACTTCCAACTATAATTCTAAGAGTGGGTTCTTTCAATTATTTCTTGTTAGATTCTGTAGGTTATATTTCTTAATATTAATAATTAATACATAAACACATAGCAAATGAATAGGAAATATAAATAAAAGATATTTCTTTTGCCCACAGAAAAGTGATCTAATAGAAGACATAACTGAATTGCTTTGTTCTGATCTGTCAAGGAATAAATTGTCTAAGTTCAAAAAAAAGTTTGTTTATCAACAAAAATTTTAATTTGCAGATATCTCTAACATCCATATATACACATATACACATAATGGTTTCGTTTCCTAATCTTTGAAAGCTTAAATTTGAAGGAGTCATTTAAATCAACTTATGACATTATCGATTCATTAATTTATTAAGCCTTCGTACAATCGCATAACGCATATATCAGTGAGTTAAATTTTTAATTTCGAAGGCTAAATCAAAACTGAATGCAAATATTTGGAAAATGGAATTACATAGCAATTTATGCAAAAGAAATACGTAACAATTATAGGAATAAAAATATCAAAATATACTAAGAGCCTAATAATCTATTTTTTAAGTATTAAATTGTCCGGGTGCTTTATTTGAAGTAACTGTTTTTCCTTATACTTAATAAAGAAGAAAATTGAAAATCTTGAATATCGTAAATTGTAAATGCATTACTTTTTCATGCCTTTATATCGAACTGCATATTTATTAAGAAAATAATTGTTTTAAGGTTAAATTTCAATTTCTCACCATTTCTGGTTTTTACAGAAAATTAAGGTAAAGATTTTTCAAAAGTTTTTTGAATTATTGCATCGAATCACCTCAAATACTATTTGAAATATACAAGGAAAGAAGTATAAAAATTAGAAGTGGAGAAAAGTGCACCTGAAGTTGAAAAGTTAACGCTGTATTCCGTGGATCGAAAACTTCACGATAAAGAGATAATGCATGTAAATTTTTATTGAATACATCCAAACAACAAGTTAATCCGCAACAATACTGAACATATCGTTGACATCTAAATTAATTCAATATTATTTTTAAAATTTTTAAAGTAAGGACAATCGAAAATATTGTGTAATGAGTTAATTAATTATCACCTGTAAATTAGAATAATTTTCAGTAACAGTTTTTTTATTCTTTTAATCAAAATGCTGAAATGATTATTATATAAATTTTACAAAAATTCTTACTGATAAACAATATCATATATAGGAGATCCATCTACGTATTCCAAATTTTCTCGTTCATTTGAATCCATACGATACAAACAGGTGTCACGTGTCGGTAAATAATTGAAATTATCCTAAAATAAAATACGGTAGAAAGAATGTAATTATTCTCACATACAAATGAAAATGCTTCATTCTTGAAAATGCGAAATTTTTTGAAAATCAAATAACGTACCATATAGTAATATTTTGTTCCCAGCCAATAATTACGCCTATATCGCGAAAGATAAATTCGATCATTGAACGCTGCCACTTTACGTATCTCATATCCATCCAGTATGTAAGTAGTAATTAATCGTAACACATCCTGATTTGTTTCATTATTACCACTAGTTGCTTTACCTCCAGAAAGATTTCTAAATATGTGAAATTGATTTGCTTAATTTCAAATTTTCTCAAGTTGATCGTTTTTGGACCAAATATGAAATTTATATCCTATATGAATTATATTTTCCACGAAAGCAATATTAAAAGAAAGTGATGTAGTCGTAGTAGGACATGAAACGAATACATCTGTCATCTGGAATGGTCACCTGATAAAGTTCACAAGTTGATAAATAGTAAATCTGACAAATTATTCTTCAACTTATGACTGATTATATATTTTTGAAAATTCTGAATGATCGAATGCATCAAATATTAACCTGACTTCCGGTAGCAAAGGTTGCCTGAAAAGGATAAATTATAGTCAAAAAAAACTGGCAGATACCAAATCATTTCATCACAAGGAAATTATAAGATTTTCAACAACATTAAACTATCATAAGCAATTAAAAATGGTTCTCATTTAGAAGGAATAAAGACCTGAAAACTAATATTCAAACAAGAAATTTTACTAAAATCGAAAGTTATTGTCAAAATTTTTTTTAAACTGTAAAAAGGTAAGCCAATTAAAACATTTGCATAATTTTCAATAGTAAATTTGCGGAAATTGCAATTTATCAAATGTCAAAATATTACAATTTTTTTATAATTTTATATATGCGTTTTTTCTCCTTAAACTTAATTAATAAATTTAATTAAAATCTAAGACAAAATACATTTTTTTTTTGCAATATGTGGAAAAAAATCTCAATTGTACAAAATTTCTTTAATTTAAATAAAATTTAAATTTTAATGAATTGAAAAGATTTTGTATTTTGTAATTGAAAAGATATTAAAATTTAAATAACGTTTAAATTGTAATTTAAATAAAATTATGCAATTAATGTTACTTTAATAATACCCGTTATTGATGATTAAACTGCATGCAATCAACAGAAGAAGGAAGTAGCAGTAAGTTGCATGCATTACTGATGGATAGCTACTCATATATGTTTGCACATTCAACACTTTGAATTCCAATATTTGTTTAATCGATCCATCATTCATCAATATTATTCATAGCAGCATTACAAACGCTATTTGAAAGATATACAACTGCAGCTGCATTGTTAATGTATATTATTAGTTAACGGTTCAATTAATGTAATTAAAGGTATTTTCTTTTTTTTTTTATCACTCACTGATAATACTTTAGCTATAAATTATCATTATCATTATTTAAAATGAATCATTTGTAGTGTGATTTATATTTAAGAATTAAAAATTATGAATATTTTTTTTTAAAATAAAGATAGTAAAATTATGTATTTTGACGATAACATAATATTTTTTATAATAAAAAACTTTTTTATAGAAATTAAATTTCATTTTTATATAAAAAAAATAGAACTAAATTTATTCTTTTTTATTTTGAAAATATGATTCTTTATAGTACTAGTATTGTTTATGCTTATTTTGTATGTTGATGTTTACATGTTTATTACATATTTATTAATAAATTATAATTCAATGTTTTTTCACCCTTTTTAACCTTTTCAATTATTCATGAAACTTTTCTTTACTATAGAAATACATAGTTAATTATATGATGATGTACAGAAATATTGCAGTTGAGAGAAAATTGCAAACGGATTAATTGCTATATTTTCAAAAATAATTCCAACCTTTTTTTCCTAAATAAAAATTTTAATTGATATATGACAAATTTATATGTATATTTGATAGTTTCACTTTTGCACCTGAGTTTCTATTTATTATATCATAAGTTGATAGCGTCGAATTTTTGATAAAGTTGCTTAGAATCGTTTGTCAATTATCCTTACTGCTCAATGGGAAAGGTAAAAACACTTAATATTATATTATATTATAAATAATTTTATCAATGAAAAATTTTTCCCAAATAATTTTACATAAACAAAATACAATTTTCAAAATATAATTTAATTATAGATTTATTTATTTATTTTTAATTTTATCTCCTTCATTACAACATTAAAGGTTCAATCTTTGTTTTGATAATTTCAAAGATAACAATTTGCAATTTTTGTTGTGAACCAAAAATTAGGCTTAGAATGATAATTTATTTTTGATGCATTAATTTCAAATCTAATTTGAATGGGAAAATTTTTCAAATATGACATGGCACCATTTGAAACCATTCTGTCGTATCCTTCTTTATTTCCAACAATATCCGCACTGTTACACTTTTTCCAGTAATAAATAATTTTTTCTTTCTTTCCCTTTTTTTTTTAAAATACACATATATATATTTGTTAAAACAAATATATTTTTGTTGACAGCAAAGTTCCATAAATTTAAGAAATTTTCACAAAGAAATTGTGAGAGGTAAAATTTTATGTTGCAAAAAGCAGAAATTGCCTTTCATTAATTTATTTAATCGTTGAATTTTATTATTTACACTTTTTTTTCCCGTGCATTTTAAGATAAGAAGAGTTGAAAATGTGGCGTTGAAAATTTTGTTTACAAATTAGTGTAAATTAAAACAATACATTCATAGAAAATTGGGAAGATTTGATAAATTTAAATTTGGATATGATATTGTTGTGATTATTTTAGGAAATAATGATATACAAGTTTTATACGAATCATAGGGCATAATTATACTTCACTATCTATGGTGCTACATTCAGTGAACCATATTTTTTGTGATTATTTTTATTCGAAATGGAAAACGAAGCAATATCCATCCAAAGAGTATCATCCTATTTAGGATTATCTCGTGCACAAAATTTTACATCACAAATCTGTACTATGAAAAAAGATTATTTTATGATGTAAAAATATTGAATACAGAAAGTTACAAATGCCAGTTTCACTATCAAAAATATCTTCAGCCCTGGAATTATATGATTATCAACAAATTATGATTTAGTTTGTTGTTGAATAAGACGCTTTTAATCTCTATCATAAACTTTTATAAGCTTATTTATGTTTGATAGCCACTAACTCATAACATTTAAATATGTAATCGAAAATTATCGATTTGAGAAAAGTTGAAGAGAAAAATGGCCGCTGATATTTAAATTCTTTTCAAAATTTTTGCTTCTTTTTATAATTAAAAAGCTGAAATTCCCAATGAAATATTTTATAGTATAAAGAATTCGTTGTTTGTTGTGCTTCCCTTCTAAGAATTCATGGAATGAATTATGTATTCTATAGAAAAGATAGCTCTCCTATTCTGAAATTACAGCATTGAATAGTAAATATCAATTTGAATAATAAATGATACAGCTTGACATTTTGAGCTTTCAATTTCGTCTTGTTTTAATCATTAAGCAATATTTCATATTTTCAGCATTTAGCACGAATAAAACATATATTATGTTTGATAAGAAATTGTAAGGATTAGAAAATTTGAAATTAGTTCAAGTCTAAGATTCTAGGGTTCTAGATCTATCATAACTATCAGAACAACAGTGCTGTGACCAAGTTTAGCATCATAGAAGGAAGATATTTATATGCATCCAAACACTTTCGCGAAGCATAAATAATGGAGAGAATGTTCACTCTCAGCCACAACTGAAAATGCTAGCACCTGCAACATTTCAGATTGGCGAGCAAATGAAATTTAAAATGTGAAAGAATTATAAGAGAAGCAATAAAATGTGAATTCAAGAGAGAAGAGAACAGAAAAGTTGTCTAAACAAGAATCTATGACAACCACTACAAATGGACTATTTTGGTATGCAATTATAATAAACAAAATATTGGAGTTAGGAAAACTTGTATAAATTTCCCGATAACTGATAATCCTGCATTTAATGCTTTTCTCAGATATAGTCGAAATATTACGATTGCTTATTACTTTTTGCAAATTTTCAAACTTTCAGCAATTTTGTAAACCTTTTTTGTCAGCTAATTATATATTGTTTCAAAAAATATTTACAGATAAATAGATGGATAGATAATTTTGTTGAAAATACTCATAAACAAATATTTCCAAAATGTTAAAAAGAAATAAAAGAATGCAACTTTAGGATATGAAAAATGTTGAATGGTCAGCTTTCCGATAGTTTGATATTAGCATTTTCCGGAATTACGTTATTGTTCGAAGTATTATTAAAACACATCATACTGTTAAGTTGTTATAAATTTTTTGAACTTCAATCTATCTTATTGATAGGAACAAAGCGATATAATATGCAATTATTTTGTTTAATGTTTTGTTAAATATAAAAAATAAAAATACAACATTAATCTTATTAAATCTAACGATTAATTTGATTATAAATAATTTAATTTGAAGATGTAAGTGCCATAACTCTTCCGCTAATTTTTCTAAATAGAAATATCCTGATAAATTTGGACAAAACTAGTTCAAATCCTGGAAAATTCTTGATCTTATTGTAATCAGTTGTATTGTAGTCATCAAAACATCCAAGGATAATTTTATCGAAAGTTAGCAGTTAAAATAAAAGATTATTGAAAGATCACGAGAATAGAAACTAATGCCAAGTAAAAAAAAAGACTTGGTCTTCTTGCACTCAATCCAGATGATTCAAGCAACCGTGAAACATACGATGACCTCCAGTAAAGTTCATGAAGGCTCTAACCAACAAGAATGAATTGGAATCCCTGATAGTTCTCATCGTGGGCATTTCACCATGGGTTTATTCGAGCATTTGGAAATGTTGCTGCATGAGACCACCCACAAAGCTTAAGTCATGGAAGAGTATCTATTGGGTGCAAAGCGAGCAACGTATTTTCAAGACCACCCACAACGTTCCCATCAGTGATATTAGTGTGTGATGCATACTTCCTTCGTGGCATAAATTGATGTATGTGAAGTCATTGTCGTCATTTTTGCTGTCTTACAGATCACTGAGGAAGAAATGTTAAGATGTGAGAATTTGTTTTATCAAATCCTCTTGTCGAGAATGAGACTTTTGCACACCTAAACCGAGCGTTAATTTCACTTTTGTTTGATCTACAGGCAGCTTTGTTAATGCTTGAATGTCTGCGCTTGAATGTCTTGAATGTCTAATGCTTGAATGTCAGCTATCTCAGTGTACCAAAATGATGGAAGGCCAACTTTCCACTTAACAAGCAAGCATTGATACTTCTTCCATTCAGTAACAAGAGCTTTCTAAATTAACATTTACAACTATAGTACGCTTCAAATGTCTCCCTACATTCATCATATCGTATTGTAACATGCAACATGAAAAGAATCACACTGAATGATGCCACAATCATTTTCCAGTTTAGATTGATGAAATCAAATAGTTGCATTCATTTTTATGCATGCATCGCTTCATCCTACGACTCTTTCAGATATTCTGTTGAAAGTAGTGAGGGATAAATTTCCTCTCAAAATACGCATAAAATTCCAGTTGTGATTAGACTGAAGTGAGAGCTAACCGATAAAAATG